GCAGGCTCGCGACGGGAGCAGAGCAGGCAAAGAGCCACACTTCCAAGGAAACATGTAGCTGCTGGGATGCTTGCTGCAACACCATGCAACGGTGACAAAAATCGTCAACGAGGTACATCCCAAAAGCAAGGGCTAGTTGGAGTCAAGGGTGGCAAATCCGGAGACAGGGTATTATTCATGAATCTGGTGCACTTTCAGTAAATGTCATGGTGTTGTCAAGTTCTCATCATTATTATGTGGGACAAATAAGCCCAGAGCAGGCCGGTAAGGAATATAGACAGTACGAGATGTCTGTCTTACACGTTCCGTGAGAAAACAGGACGGAGGGGTGTGGCACCTGCTGGAGGTTCTAGTTTTCCTCGGCAGGTGGCCTGGGTGTTGTGGACCCAAGACTCCCAGATGTTGTCTGTTGGGCTGTTCTTCTGGCCAACCCCTGAACGTGTCCCCAGGTGGCTCCTCTGTGAGCCCCCCAGGGCTGGGTGCCGGGGACACACACACATCGGACATCAGCTCTGCCCTCAAGGGGCACGGGGCCTACCGGGGGAGAAAAGCAGAATCTCACTAACACGGCATGTTGGATTTTTTACAATAGCTATAAGGCTGTCAAGCTGTGAGGGTATTGTTCAAGGAGGGTTTCTAAGAGGGGAAATCCGACCCTGGTCTTCCCACAGGACTAAGAGCCTGAGGGAAGGCAGAGGGACCAAAGTGGTCGGGGGTATGGACCCAAAGCTAAGTGGACCGAGGGTTGTGCAGGAGAAGCCTTGGAAGGCCTTGGTGGAGGCTTTCATCCTTGGTGGGGATGAAGAAGAGAAGGCAGGGGCTGCAGCCGGCGCTCACTGGGAGCAAGACTCAGTGGGCCCTGGGGTGGCATCCTCCTAGGCTGGGTACATGGGAGCTGAAAGCAAAAGCAGGTGTTGTGCGATCGCCGAAGATGCAGGCGCTGTCCCAACCCAGGCTCCTGGTCTCACGCCTCGAACTGGGTCCCACAGCGGAGTTGGCTGGCAGCGGGGCTCAGCTCCAGGAGCGGGTGGCTGGGTCCTTGTGAACCTCTTAGGACCAGACATCTAGGACCCACCTAGGGCGCTACGTGTGCTCTATATGCTTTTCCGTAGCTGAAGACACTGACTTGGCAACAGGCTAGCCAGTTGAGGGGCAGGTTTTAAACCCCGTTCCTAAACCACCACCTGTCTTAGAGAAGCCATGGTGGAAATCCCCAGGCCGGGGAGGCAGGAGGCTGAGGTCTTGGGCCGGTAGGAGGATGGCACACCGGCTCGCAGCTCTCCACCCTGCCCACCGTTCACCAAAGCAGCGATGTCTCTCCGAGCTCTGCACCTGTTACCAAGATTTTGGGAAACCTTAGAATTAAGTTGTAAGTTCCTCTAGTGGGAAAGAGTAAGGAAACCTGAAGGAGGGGAGCCCTCCTAGATAGATAGGAGTACAAATGGTAAGACCGAAGTCATTTTAAAAAGAGAGGCAGAGGGAAGTCAGTGGATTGATAGGTAATAGAAAAGCCGGTCCTAAAATAAGACTTTGAGATGTGATGAAGGAAACACATGTCAATGCAATGGAAAGAATTTATGATCTCAGGATGTTTAAGTATTTGGGGGGGAAAAAGTCACTTTAGAGCCTCACCTCACACTCCATGCCAGACTTATTCCAGAACCAACTTTATTAATTCTAGAGGGAAAGAGAAACCTAACGTTGAAAACACTGAGAGAGGGGCGCCTGGGTGGCTCAGTCGTTAAGCGTCTGCCTTTGGCTCAGGTCATGATCCCGGTGTCCTGGGATGGAGCCCCACGTCAGGCTCCCCGCTCAGTGGGGAGTCTGCTTCTCCCCCGCCCCCACCCCACTCACTCACTCACTCCCTCTCAAATAAATCTTCAAAAAATGTTTAAAAAATAGAACACTGAAAGAAAGGGCCCAATGCAGGTAACCACCGGCCCTTCTGGTCTCTGCTCTTCTCAGATGAGTGGTTTTGAGTGGGCAGGACCCTCATAGGGGGTCTGTGAGGTAAAACTGGCTTTGTAATACTGCTCGAATGTTCTCTGCTTTCCCACTCTATCTCATGAGTCCCCAGTGGAATTTTTCAGAAGCTACGTGAGAAGTGATCTTGCAAAAGATTGAGTGCAGAAGTGGGTGTGAGACTCCAGCTGTCTTCTACTGAGTCAGGCATTAAAGAAATTTGTAAAAATGGAGAGCAGTGTCACTCTTCTCACTTTTTATGTGTTGGGAAATAGTTTTTCTTAAAATATGCTATTTATGTTGTCTGTAACGTGTTTATTTTCAAAATAATATTTTCAGCCATTCTCCATTTTAATATGGTAAATGTCGAGGAGTCGAATCTACGTAAGCCGAAGCCAGGAGGTCCTAAGTGATTTTTAACAGCGCAAAGGGATTCTGAGACTTGGTCTGAAGGCACGGGGGCTGGGCCTCGTTCTACTCCTCCACAAACCTCCAGCACCCAGCGCATCCATGCAGCAAGCTGGCAGAGGTTTACGGGGTGCCTACCACATCATGTAGCTACAGGCACGATGACACAGCCATGAGCCAAAGGGACAAACGTATGTGTCTGCGCCGTGTTGCTGCGGGGAGTCTAGGGGCCCTGTGCCCAACGAGAGAGTGGATCGGCCATGGAGGAAGTCAAAATGTCAGTGACACACACACACAGAAGTAAAGAGCTGGACACACGGGCAGCAAATATGACACACGACAGGTTAATATCTTTAATATAGAACGAGCTCATACAAATTTATCAGACCCCAGTAGAGTAGAGCAAAGGACACTGACGATCCACAGAAGAGGAAACACAACTGCTTAACATGGAAAGATGTTCTACTTTGCTAGAAAGCAAAGAAATGCAAACTGAAACACAGGTATGTTTCATTATCAGGCCAGCAAGTCCCGCCAGAGGATTCGACTCAGAGCCGGCGAGACGGTCCGACAGGCACGTCCGTCCTTGCTGGCGGCAGTGTCGATGGATACAAACGTTGCTGGAAACCATTCCGTCAATATGTCATAAGGGGCTCAAAGGTTTTCATATCAATTCAATAATCCCACCTCTGAGAATCTATCCTAAGGAAATAACTTGACGTTGGGGAAAAGCGTTATGTACGAAGAAATTCTTCCATTTCTGGTGGTGGGAAATTAGTTGACAAACGGCATGGGTCAGGCATGGGCACTACTGTCCGTCTACATGGTGGGAGGACACAGCCAGTTCAAACGCAAATTAGTAATAACGTGTAATGGGGAAGTCCTCGGATAGAAGTGAAAACACCCACACAGTATTGTTTCATTACAGAAGGTAGTTGTCACCACTACGTCGCAACAAAAAGAAGAAAAACCATGATGGGTGCGGGGAGAAGGGAGGGGCCTGGCAGGAGAGCCACCAAAATGTTACGACTTCGCTGTTCTCACGTTCTACCTTATTCTCCAACATTTCTGTAAGGTGTAGGTTTGCTCTGACCGTGGAAAGACCTGGCGCGTCATTACTTCCCGTGGAGTTAGTGACGTCACAGTGAGCAGCTAGGGCCCCTCCCATTTCCTCCACGGAGTCTGCGCGGCACCACCTGCCGCCACTCCCCATGTTAGGACCCCGAGAGACGCCATGGGGTCACCAACCCTCTCCACAGTGGACCTGTCCTACACCCAATCCTCTCCCGACGCGGGCAAGCTACCGCTGTTGGCAGCGAGGTGCTCTGCCCTTCCTTCTGCAGACTCCAGTCCTGACCTCCGCTCTAAGCGCCCGTCTAAGGCTTCCCAGGCACCGGAGAGCTTAGTTTTCCGGCAAGGATCTCCATCTCCTCCACCTCCTCCCACCCAAAGTCCTCTGCAGAGGGTGGTCCATGGGGATCCCTTTCATCCGACTGTAGGGCTTGAGTCCATAAGGTAGCCTAAGTATGTCGCGCCCATCCGTCCCTCACATTCCTCCCGTATGGGCCGAACTGCCAGGACCGCGGTAACCCAGCGAGTGGCCTGTCACACTTGGCGGCAGGGACCCACACACCAGTAAAAGTCATACCAGCACCTTCTCGGGGGTCCTGCGCCCCTGCCATTACTCATTCATCATATACTTACCTGGGACCCACGTACCAGGTCTTTGTTTTTTCCTAGAAATCACTGAAATGCTTTAGGACATTAAGCCCAAGGTCACACTATACATTCGGCCAGGAAGCCACCCCTTATTCTAAATTCCATCTCAAACGATGCCCTGTTATGCCACGAGGCTTACTTACCAGATGGGGTATCAGGTAGACCGGGAAAACCACAGTATAGTTCAAATAATGTCCACACCATGAAAAATATAAAACTTTCCCTCACATGCACGGTTTAACACTACTGCCTGTCCCTCCTATACATCAATACCTGTTCTCCTAAATTCAGAGAACTCACAACCGGAAGTCTGTACAATGCCGCTCCCCTCCCCCACTTCCTTCTCCAGCTTGACCCTCCCCGTCCCACGGTCTGGCTCTGGGCTGCACGGAGCGTGGGTCTCACCCTCTTCTCTGAGAACTCCGACGTCTTCCATGGGAGCCACGTGGGGCCTCTTCTGAGTCTGATGCAGGGTAACCCCCCCGAGCCTCTCATCTACTCACTTGCAAACCTGCCGGAAGCGGTCAAGGGCGCAGATGCGCAACAGCACCACAACCAAACCCACAAGCAGAAGCCCCAGCGGCCGAAACACAACTCACTGAACCGAAGGGAGCTGGAGCAGCGGCCTGGACGGGGCGCGACCCACCCACGGCAGAGGCCGGATCACCGGGCGGACAGGCAGCACGCCAGCCCCGCCCTCCGCGGCGGCGCCCTGCTGCGCTCCAAGGCACTACGCCAAGGCTGCGCGCAACGCAAGCGCAGTAGGACTTCTACATGCCACGTGGGTAAGCCCAGGGGTCGGCGAGATGGCAGTCCCCGCCCTGCTTCCATGCGGGGTCTCTCGTCCTCAGAGGGCTGGGGCCACATGGCAACCTTCAGGGTGCCTCCTACCCCGGGGAAGGCATCCTGTCCACCCCCCTCCCCGGGGGGCCCGCACCCCTGCATCCGCTGCCCCTCCGCCTAGCAGGCAGACAGTAGAGCACTGAGCGCAAAGAGAAAGGGATCTGTACACCCCCCACTAGAGGTCCCACCCCCCCCAGAATGATGGCCCCACTGTGTGTCCTCCCCTCCCCCCATTCATGCTTGATGAGCACCGCGGTCCCACCGGAACAGCCTTGGCTGGAATCCAGGGGGCCTGAAGCCTGTATTGAGGCAGTTCTTCAGCAGGGCGACTGGGCTAACAGAGTTTACAATGAGTGGGTGGCAGTGGTCCACGAACCCCAGCAGCCACTGAATGTCCTTGACCTTGCAAGGCAGTGGCCACTTTAAGAACGCAGCCACTGTCCCCAGCATCATCAAAACTCTCAGGAAGAAAGGATGGACCCTAGGACCCAACCTCTGGGTGTCCCAAGACAGGGGTCTTCGGGTGGGTGCCGAGGCTAGCCTTCGGCTGTCAAGCCAGGACCATTCGGATAGGGCAGATGGACCCAGGATAAGACGCCTCATCTTCCCCATGGTCCAGGCAGTCATGTAAATGCGGTTCATTTGGCATTAAATATGGCGAGAGCATCATGGTCCAAAGGGCTTGGCCAAGTCTCCTTTAGAAAGTGATTTCTGGATGTTCCCTATGAGGAACCAAAAGGCCATCCACCATCACAGGTGTAGCGTTGTCCCTCGGAATTTGGACCCAAGTGCCAGTTCTGTCCTGTCCCCACATTAGGACCAAGGCAGACTGCAGCTCTTTCCCGTTACAAACGCCACAGAGACCCTGGTGGGGCCATCAGAGGCAAACACTCCTTCCTTAAGTGCTTAGTGACGCATCCCAGAGGATTTGGGTCTCGAGCTAGGAGTCCCTGTTTTCTTAGACAAAGCCTAGACACCCGATGGGACAGCCCAGGCACAGGGAGGACATGCTACACGCGGCTTTGGAGATCCAGAGGTGGTGTGGGTGGCCAAGGGGGCCGAGGTGAAGGCCACATGTCGTCTGGAGACGGGAACAGGTCTCGAGCTAGACAGGCCTCCCACCAAGTGATGGGGGGGCAGAGGCAGGGCGGGGGGGAGGGGAGACTACACAAGCTGGCGGTGGCGGTTCCCACTGGTGCACTCCCTCCCTCAGCCCACCATGGGCCTCAGGCAGGGAGGTACACGAACAGGCCACCTGTGGTGGCTCCATGGAACCGCTCAACGATCCCGAGTCACAGTGACCTCCTGCAGCAGGCCAGTTCCAGATTCCCAGAATGCCCAGCGCTGTCAGAACGCTGCAACTAAAGCAAGCATTCCCGGAGGTGCATCCTCTGGGGGCTTTCCCAGTGGCGACAATGGGACATACCGACTGTGTGTTCCCGCGAAGAGTGAAGCCTGCCCACCAGAAATGCTCGTGCCACACTCCCAGCAGGAAACACTTGGCCACCGCAGCAGAGTCGAGCCCCCCACCCCCCAGGCCCCCACCTGCTATTCCAGGGCCTGGCAGGGATGGTGATCAGCTACGGGTGCGAAGCCAGACTCCGCGCCCCCAGGTACCCAAAGCACACCACCAGCCTGGCCAAAGTGGTTCCCTCTGTCATCAGCGGGGAGCTGCCATGGGGGCCTGCACAGGGTAGAGCAAGAGTGTCCGTGAACCTTATCAGGCTAGGAGAGATCCGCCCAAATGATCCGCAGCGGGCTGTGGGGTCACTGTGGCCGAGCAGCAGAGCTGCGGTCCCCAGGAGAGCAGGGTCTGCAAGCAAGACAGGGGAAGCATGCAGTGTGGGTCCAAAGCTAGCACAGATCACTGGGAAGGAAGGTGGGTCACGGGGCACCCAAGAGTGATGAAGGAAGATCTCCTTATGGAACAGGTCTGGAGAGGCAGGGAGGAAGGTCTTCAAACAAGGGCGATGCTGTCGTATGGACACTTCTTCTACGTTGCAAAGGGCGTATGCTGTCTGCGTCGCTGCAGAGGCGACCCAGGCGGTGGCCGAATCTTAAAGGTTCCGTGCTCGCGTGGGCAGAGCCGGAGCTGGACTAGTCCCACTGGAGGCTGGATGCACGGGGCAAGGCCCTGTGCCCGTGGCAGCCAGCTGGCGACAGAGCATCTGCCGCTCGCGCACTGCCCGGTTAGAGGCAGAAGTCTTCCTGATCTGCGCGCGCCGGGCGTGCCGGAGTGGAGACTTGTAGGTTCTCCGCAACTCTGCCAGGAATCCCTGATAGTTGTTTCGCAAGGGGCTGTCAGGCTGCATGTGGGGGATCGCCCACTTCTCTGCCTCCCCAGTGAGCCGGGACACCAGGAATGCCACTCGCTCAGCCTCACCCGGGAAGCGGGAGGCCTGGAAGATCATGAACCTGTCCATTTGCATCAAGAACCCTGCCAGCTGGCCGGGGTCTCCAGAAAAGGGCTCCGGCAGGGAGGTTGGAGGCGTGGTCATGGGTCGGGTCCCATTGGAGGTAATTGCTGAGATGGGCGGGGTGATCTGCAGCGCCCCCGGAATCCGGGCCCTGGTGCGCAGCAAGGTCAGCTCTGCCATCACGCTCTCCAGCATGTTGGTGAGATTGGCCTTCTCCGCCCGCAGGGTCGAGGCCTCCCGCCTCAGCGCGGAGTTGGTGAGGCGCAGGGAGGTCAGGGTGTCGATGACGTCATCCATTTGGGCATTGGTAGATGCTGCAGAGGCCGGGCTCTCGGCTTTCGATGTCTGGGGTTGAACCATGTTGGCCAGAGGGCAGCCGAAGGCCCGGACGGGTGGGCTGGGAGAAGGGGGTGTGGGTGACCCAGAGCCTGAGCACCTGTGATGCTAGGTTTGGGCAAACCCCGACAGGAATCAGGGTTCCACGCTGAGCGGCTGAGAAGACCGAACAAAAAGGCAGGGCCGGCAGGGCCGACGGGGCCGAGAGCCGCGCACAGCCGGGACCAGGCAGAGCCGAGGCCAGGTAGGTGGTGCAGGCCCTGGCGGTGCCGACTACGGAGGCGGCTCCTTTATCGCGGGCCTCTCCGCGCCACGGCGGGCTGCACAGAGGGTCGGGTTGTTCTGGGCCCTGAAGGAGGAAAAGATGTTTTAGAGAAACGTCTGGACTGCGTGGAGGTGGGGGTGGAAGGAAAGGCCGCTGCGCGGGGGTGGGGAAGCGGGCGTCTGGCAGGGGCGCCCGGGCCCGGAGCCCCCTCCCCGCGCGAGGCCCGGCGCCCACCTTGCGCAGAACAAAGAGCGGATGCACCTGCGGCGGCGCGGGGGCCCGGGACCGGCGGCGGGCGCGTACCTGGGTCTCCGCGGCTTCCTCCGCGGCTCCGTCTGCCGCGCCGGCCGCGACCAAGATGGCCCGATCGGGGGACGCGGGCGGGCCGATGAGTCACGGCGGCGGCGGCCCGCGGAACTGCTTCCCGGTCAGGTCAGGCCGGGGCGGCGGCGGGAGGCGGGCGCGGGCGGCCTCGGGCGGGAGCGCGAGCGGGCACCGGGACCGGGGCCGGGGTCGCAGCGGAGGGAGGGCGGGTCGCGGGCGGCCGGGGTGCGGGCGGGGCGGGCGGGTTGGGCGCGGCGGGCGCGGCGGCGGAGACGGTGGAGGCGGCGGGCGGGCCTCGCGCGGGCCCTGCTGGTTGCCATGGAGATCGCCTGCTCCCGCGTGCGCGGCGGCGGCCGAAGCCCCGCCCCGGAAGTGGTGCGCGCAGCCCCGCCCCCAGGGCTACGGCTCCGTGTCCTCCTGCAGCAGCCAATCAGTGGGCCCGGGTTAGCTGTTATTTTATTATTAGGATGGATGCCTCCTGTTTTTGTAATTCTTCCTAAGGCTACGAGCGGAGCTCTTGTTGTAATTATGTTTTTTTATATCTATCTTGTTGTAATTGTTTTTTTAATGAAACATTCTTTTCCTATTGTAACTTGAATACACATTCAGTATAATACATACCCACTGCAGAATATTTTGATGCCATGGAAGTTGTTAAAAAACAATTTCGTATCCCTCAAGAGTCCCCCAACCTGAAGAAAACAAATAGTAATATTTTTGTAGTTCCAGTCATTTCTCTTTGATATATTCTCTTTCAGAATACTAATTTTTGTACTTTATGAACTATTATGTAACCTTAATAGCACACTGAATTTTCAGCATTTTCCCATTAAAGATACTTAAAGGCATGATTTTTCAGTTATTGCCTAGTGTTCCACTGACATCGCATACCGTGCTCCTTTTGACAGATCTCTATCTTACTTCCTTATGGAAGTTCTGTAAACCCTACTTTGTGTATAAATCCCAGACTTTGTCTGCCAAGTTCTCCAGGGTAATACCCGACAAGTGAAATTGCTGGGCCAAAGAGCATGAGGATCTGGAGGCTTTTCCTGCTTGACCTTGTTGAGCTGCTTCTGGGTGGTCAATTCCAGGCTGGGGCACAGCCAGAGACAGAAAACACCCACCATGCTGGTCTTTCTAGGACGTCTTCAAGGAGGCTGAACCACGTGGGGCCCCTGCATTCCTCAGTCAATCCTGGGACAAAGTCAGCTTCTCTCCCACCTTCCCAGTTTTCACTTGTATAAAATGGGAATTGGAGCATGAGGCTGTCAGTACTTCAAGAGGATAGTCTAAAGTGCCCACAACTGTGTGTACCCCAGTATGCCACAGCTGAAAACTTCTAGGACATAAGGCAAGAGAGGAAAGAAAGGAGATGGTGTTTCTTTAAACTGCCTCCAGGAGATCTCACAAAGGAGATGGGGGCTGGAGTTGAATTCATCTGGACTGAGGTCAATGACTTCAAATGCAGAAATTGGCCTGGATCCCATTATCCCTCCCACTTCTTCCAAACACACACAGGAATCCCCATCTACTCCTGTGAGTCGCCCCATCAGTCTCTGCCTCAGCATCACGTTTGTACTTCACCATAACCCTGAACTCTGTACACAGAAGGGAAGTGTCTGCTACAATTTCAGTTGTGACTAGCATTGTAAATCCTAAATTCCTGGGTGCACTGAATCAAAAGTATACCCTTGTTTCAGAAATGATGAAACATGAATTTGAAGATACGTGTAATTTATTTGTATTTCTCGTTATTTCAAATAGGATATAAAGTGGCATCACATAAAAACAGTGAAATAAAAATGAGAAGAACTTTAAAAATAAGAAAAGCAGGGGCAGAATATTTGGTTTCCGACCCAGATAATTGAGGGTTCATGCTCTGAGATAGCTCTGTCCGCTACAAACAGAGAACAATGATAAACCATAGAAAGAAAGTATTGAGAGAATCTGGCTGGGCTCAGAAACAAGATGAACTCCCTGTGCTCCAGAAACACAGACTGCTGAGTATGGACAAAGCCATGGGCTTGCTGGGCCCTATGTCCTGGCATAATGAGGATGTCATGGTTCTGGAAACAGTATCAGGCTTTCTCTTTGAAACCAAGGGAGAATGGGGTCACCTGTATGTCAGAGAGGAGTCTGAAAAATCTGCTTCGACCATTTCATGCAGACAAATGCTTCTGTGAAGGTGTAGTCCTGGGACAAGGAAGCACACACAGCATCATGGATCTCATGTTCCCTTGCTTGACAAGAAGACCCTGAGGCCCAGGAAGCATGAATCGCCACCACCCATATAAAACCTGCTCTATACAGCAGACCAGACATCACAGGAGCAGCCCCAAACCGCTAGACTGGGAAGGAAGGGGGCTCCAGAGGCTTGAGTACACAGAGAAGACACTGAGAGAGAGAGAAAGTGAAAGATAGCCTTTTACCCCAATATGAACCTAAAACTCAAAACTAAAGCCCAGGAAGACATCTAATGCTAAGAATAATGGCCACTAAAATTAATAATCATAAATTAACTTCCACTGAAATTAATAGAACAGTCTAGAGGGGAAAGATGCTTTAATGGAAGTATATTTAGGGTCCACAGTGAGAATAATGAAGGAAAAACATTTGTAAAAAGAACAGACATGGCGGGCGGTGGGGGAGGGATCAGGAAGGTAAAAATGTAACAGCGTGAGATGATTATGAAAAGTACCTTCTAAAAGGCAATCAAGTCAACTTCCATTCCCAGGAAGATGGAGTTGGTGCACTCTGCCCTCTTCCTTCAGCAAAGCACAACAGAAAAGAACTGAAAAAGAAAAAGAGAGAGACTTTAAAAATTGGAGAGAGAGAGGCAGATTGGCTAGGTTGTTCAGGACCCAAGGACTGACACAGCTGAGAGTTCCTTGAGTCTTCTTGTGTGTGATACATCTCAGAGCCAGAGAAGCTGGCAACCTGGATGTGCCTGTGGGGACAGACAGAAATCTCCGCTGCTCTCTCAAGCCAAAGATCCAGGAAAGATACAGCCTAAGAAGACAGAAAACTTTTAGACAATACTCAAACTCTCAAAACTCAAAGGCAAAGACAGAATCTTGAAAGCAGCCAAAGAGAAGCAGGTGATTATATATAAAGTATCATCGATAAAATGAACATCTGGTTTCTCATCAGAAACCATGGAAGCCAGAAGGCAGTGGGAGGATAGATACAAAACACTGAAAGAAAAGACTGTCAACCAAGAATTCTATATTCAGCAAAATCAGCTTTCAAAAATGAAGGAAAAATTAGGACACTCCCAAGTAAACAGAAATGGAGACCGTTCATCACCAGCAGACCTGCTTTATGAAAAATAATGAAGGTCTCAAAAAATTTGTAAAAGGAATAAGGAAATTAAAAATGGTACACTAGAAGATATCTATGTTACATGAAAGAAGGCAGTAGTGGAGGAATAGAAAAACAAAAAAATAGAACATATAGAAAACAAAAGAACAGATGTAAATCCTACTTATCAATAACAGGTTAAACATAAATGAGTTAAACACTCCAGTTGAAAGGTCAAGATTGACAAAATGAATTTTTAAAAATGATCCAACTCAATGTTGTCTACAAAAGACACACTTTTGATTCAAAGACACAAATTAAATTGAAAGTAAATGAATGGAAAATGATATATCCTTCAAACCAGGCAAAAGAGAAATTGATTAGCTATAGTAATATCAAACAAAACAGACATTAGACAAAAATTGTTCCTAGAGAAAAAGAAGGACACTTTGTAACGATAAAAAGATCAATCCACTGAGGCAACAAATACAAACACATACACGCCTAACAACAGTGTCTTACACTTCAAACCTTATCTACAAATTATAGCCGTCAAAAATGGGGGCGCCTGGGTGGCTCAGCTTGTTAAACGTCTGCCTTAAGCTCAGGTCATGATCTCAGGGTCATGGGATCGAGCCCAACATCAGGCTTCCTGCTCAGTGGGGAGCCTGCTTCTCCCTTTGCTCCTCCCCCTCCTTGTGGGTGCTCTCTGTCTCTCTCAAATATAGAAATAAAATCTTAAAAAGAAAATGTATAGTCCAGTAGAATAGAATTTAAAGTCCAGAAATAAACCCTAACATTTTAGAGTCAATCCACTTTCAAAAAGAGGACCAAGAAAATTTAGTGATCAAAGAATAGTCGATCCTAAGAAAACTAGCTATCCATAGCAAAGAATTAAGTCAGTCTCCCTACCTCAACCTATATAAAAATTAAGTCAAAATGGATCAAAGACCTAAACGTAAGAGTTAAAACTATAAAAGTCTTAGAGGAAAGCCTAGTGGTAAATCTTTGTAATCTTGGGTCATGCAATGGCATCTTAGATATGACACCAAAGTACTAATGAAAAAAACTGATAAATTGGATTTTACCAAAATTAAAAACTTTTCTGTTTCAAAGGATGCTATCAAGATTGTGAGAAGATAACCCACAGAATGGGAGAAAATAGTTGAAAATCATATATCTGGTAAGGGTCTAATATCCAAACTATGTAAAGAGCTCATAACTCAATGATAAAAAAGACAACCCAATTTCTTAAATGAGCAAAATATTTGAGCAGATATTTCTCCAAAGGAGATATACAAAGGGCCCATAAACACATGAAAAGACGTCAAAAATCACTAATCTTTAGGGAAGTGCAAGTCAGAACCACAACGCTATGACGGCATACCTCTTTGTATTGCTGTAATTGAAAAGATAGACAATAACACCTGTTGGTGAAGATGTGGAAAAATTGAAACCCTCATCCACTGCTGGTGGGAATGTAAAATTTTGGCAGTTCCTCCAAAAGTTTAGAATTTCCATGTAACCCAGAAATCCCATTCCTAGGCCTATGCCCAAGATAATTGCAAACATGTGTCTACACAAACACTTGAAAATATCTGTAGAAGGATAATTCATAATATTTTAAAAAATGGAACCAACTCACATGCCCACTAATGGATGAATGGGTAAACATGTGGTATCATCGTACAATGGAATATGGATTGGCCATATAAAAAAAAGAGATATACATGATCTGTGCTACAACGTGGGTGAAACTTGAAAGCATTACCCCGAGTGAAAGGAGTTAGATACAAGGACCATATATGTATGACTTTATTTATATTAAGTGTCCACAACACGCAAATCTGCAGAGTTG